AGGGGGCGCCGGCCGGCCCCGCCCACCCCGGGCCAGCGACCCTGCTTGCCGGCTCTGATTCCGGGAAGGCTGTGGCCCGGCGGATCGCGAAGGTTCGAATCCCAGCGGCGCCGCGCCTGCGCCCCTGGCTCCTCCGGGCTGAGATGGCGGTGGGTGTCATCCTGAGCAGGGTTGCGCAACATGCGAACAGTAGGGAGAAATGCTTCGTTTAAAACCAACTGACTTCCCCTGCAGCAGCGCCCCCTCCGGGCCCTAGATGTGAGGACAAGTTATGCTGGGGGTCAGTCCAGAGCGGGCACGTCACTATCTTCAAAGAGATTGCAATCAGCACCAGAAAGAATTTTCTTGAGTAAACTGGGGCGGAAAGGCCAGACGGTGCAGGAGGAATGGAGGGTGGACGTCATTTACACCCATTTTTAGGGAGGTTACAACTGAGGCACCGTCCAAACCTCAACTGGCAGCAGGGCAATGACTGCAGTTGACCTTCCGGCATTTTACTCTGCAGTGGGGAGGGTGAGAGGGTCTGACCCACATAAACTCACCCACTTTCCAGAAAATTGAGTAAACGGTGCTTCATGACAGGACTTCCCAACCCCTACCCCACCACCCCCATATAACCCAGCACTCTCTCTTCATAACCAAGTAAGTCTCTCAATTAAGATAATTTTAGGCCTGGTTTTTAACCATTATATCAGTGTCTCTTAAAGCTAACTCTTTGAACTTGAGTCAAAGCCAATTTCTTTGAAATTAAGGTTTCTGGGAGGCCAGAAGGGCTGCTGCAGGCTGATCTGCCCCGTACCACTACCCCCACCCCCGTGGCTGCAGAATCCTGCTCCTAATAGCTGTTTCTTGGACAGTCTCACATACTCCCTCCCTCTTTGTCACTGGTACCGTACGAGTTGTGAGATGTGGAAATACAAGCCATCATGAGGGAATAAAGAGGGACTGGGTTGAAATTAAACCGTTCGTTCATATTTTTAATCTCAGCAGTTCCCTAGCATATTAATGATTAATCCGCGGGAATTAACCTGGATTAGCTTTCCACACAGTCTTTTTCCAGCAGTGAGCCCCAGCTTGACGTAAAAGTCAAGAATCCCAGCTTCTTGCTGGCATATACTACCAACTAGTTCTAATTGGCCGTGGGTAAACCAGTTAGCCTCTCTGAACGTGGATGTACCCTTTTAGGACAATCGCTCCCCTCTCTGGGTTTTGGAGAGTCATTCTTCCATCCACCCATCCATCTACCCATCTATCCCATCCATCTACCCATCCATCCACCCATCCACCCATCTGTCCACCCATCCATCCACCCATCCATCCCATCCATCCACTCATCTGTCCATCCATCCATCCACCCATCCATCCCATCCATCCACCCATCCATCCCATCCATCCCATCCATCCACCCATCAAGCCATCCACCCATCCATCCTATCCATCTACCCATCCATCCCATCCATCCACCCATCCATCCCATCCATCCACCCATCCATCCCATCCATCCACCCATCCATCCACCCATCCATCCATTCATTGGTGTCTGTCGAGTGCCCGGAAATCACTACAGGCTGGACAAGCAGCCTAGACTGATACTCAGACCCAGTAAAGACCCAACTGCCCTCAGAGGCCTTGCTGTAGCCACAGACCTCCTTCATCTTATTCACACTGGTTTTCCCAGAAGCAGATCCTGACCAGGAGGGTTTGGGTGCAAGTGACTCATTTGAGGGACGATCACAGGAAACACTGGTAGGATAACGGGATGGGAAAGGGCTGGTGAAGAGCACAGTGTCAAGCAAGTGGCCTCTGCGGGCAGCCAAGGCTCAGCATCGCTGGGCACTAGGGAACCATGTGGAGCCCGCCCCAGAGGTGTCCCCCCTGCAGTGCGGGACTCCCAGTCCTCGTGGTGGAGGGCTTCCTCTGGGGGTCTGTAACTCACCCCTATGCTCCGTCAGCCAGAGAAAGCCTTCCAGCAGAGAAAAGCAGCTGTTTGCAGCAAGAAGCCCTTGGCAGAAGGCTGAGTGCCTGGGGCGTCTGGGGGCCACGATAGGGTCTTCTACCGACCCCACACCTGCACAGATAGGGGCTCCGTAAATGCACATTCCATAAATGTTGTTAAACGAATCATAGGATTACCAAGTCCCTACGAGCGAAGCGTGTTTACAAAAAAGGGTCTCTGTCTGCTCCCTCCCATGATTGACGTTTTGTTTGGCCTCAACACAACATAGGGTTCGGTATGGATGAGTGGCCTGTCCCGAGCCTTTGCCTTTGCTCAGTCCCTGCCCCTTGTCCAGCCTCCACGAGGAGGTCAGCCCCTGCCCCACCCCACCCCCACCTCCTAGCCGGCCTGACTCACAGCCACTCCTGTGCCTGCAGACTGCCCTCCTCGGCCCTGCTCTGCCTTCTCAGCATGTCTCAGCCTTGGTCTCTCCCAAGGCGTGCCTGGGAAAAATGGGAACCACCCCCAGGACTAGATGGACAGGGGGTGCCTGTCGGGGAGCGAGGGGCTTCCCCCAGGCTCAGAGCCCCTGGCCCTGCCGCAGGCCCGTAACCATCAAGCCACCCAGCACGAGAGGGATCCCATCGCCCAGCGAAGCCTCCAGGTCCTATCTGCTCAGTGCCAGACACAGGCTGGAGCCTGGGAATCAGGTCCCTGCCGCCCCGTGGATGACAGGCCAGTGAGGGCTGTCACATGAAACCAGGCCAGAGAGAGGCCGAGGCGAGCTCAGACTGCGGAGAGCCGAGGGGTGTGAGCAGAAGCTTGAAAGAGAAGGGGGATTAGCCAGGCCGGAAGGTGAGAGAACAGGGCGGGTGGAGGCCTGGGGTCTAGGTAGCATGGTCCATGAGGGGCCCGCCGATTTGCGGTGCTTTGCCAAAGCTTGAAGGGTGAAGAAGAGGGTAAGAAGAGCTGAGTGTCAAAAGGCGAGCCTCAGGGGCACAAGGGAACCATTTAGAGGTGATGTAAATGCCCCACACCTTGGTGATAGTGAGAGTTACACGATCAAATTATGCGCTCTCGAAAAGGGCGAATTTGGTTTGTAAGCAAATTATTCTTCAATCAACCTGACTCAAGGAAAAAAAAAGGATATGTCCTTTTTGGGTTTTAGTTGTATATTAAAAACAAAGCATTCTTATTGGGAAAAACTAAACATACAAGAATAATTACCTAGAACAGCCCATTAACTCATGACAGGGCTTTGCTTTCTATTACTAACTTGCAAATATTATTTTTAAAGAGTAGGCAGAAAGAGAAGATATCTTACAGTGTGAAAAGAGGTTTTACTTTATCAACAACTAAAAAAGGATGATAAATGACAAACAGAAGAAAAATATCATGTGAAAAAAAGGACGTAACATTTTTAGGTCTTATCACGTGCCAGGCACTATTGGAGATGCCTTACAAATAAGTAAAATTATTTAACCCTCAGAACAACCCAGTAAAGGAGGCACGGTTATTATCTCCACTTTAGAGATGAGGAAACGGAGGCACAGAGAGGTTGAGTACCCTGCCGTTTGTCACAGGGCTGGTCAGAGGAGCGGGGTGGGCACCAGGGTCCATGAGCATAACCACTGCATTCGGTGCCAGATCCCTGAAGGTGTGCTGTACCTGTGTGGTTCAGGGAAGGGTTTGTGGTCAGTGACAGCCAAGGTCGCTCCCGTGGCCCCCTATCTCGGCTGACTGTGATGCTCAGCTAGGTTGGAGGCCCACTGGGTTGGAGGCCATTGCAATAGCTCTGGTGGTGAGGGCTTGAACAGGGCAATGGCAGCGTTGGGATGTGTAAGGGTCCTTCACGAGGGTGTTTAGGAGGTGAAGTAGGTGAGGCTTCGTGACCACGGGAGTGAGGGACACGGAGGAGCCACCTGTGAGCCCCTGTTCTTGGCCCGAATGACAGGGAGCGTGGTGGTGTCAGTGCAGGGGCAGGGCATGCAGGAGAATGAATAGGTGGGGGAAAGGAAGTGGGGAGGATGTTGCCTGTTGTCTTGACATGTCGAATTTGAGGAGTCTTGGGGAAGTCCAGGGGGAGATAGTGTTTCATTGGGTCTGAAGCTCAGGGGTGGAGGCCAGTGTGGCTATTACAGTTGGAAACCCGAGCACGAGAGGAGGTTCAGACCTTAAGGACAGAGATGATCACACCCAGCATGTGAAGCTGGGAGCTGCATGTGGATGGGGACAGGAGAAACCAGAGCTTGACTCCTGCACAGAGAGAGGAAAACCCACAAAAGAGTCTGTATCAATCTGCTTTTGCTGCATAATAAATCACTCCAAAACTCAGTGGCTTATCACAATTCTGGTTTCCTATTAGAGCTCACACATCTACAGCAGCTGAGGCTTGGCTGATCTTGGCTGGCCCACGCATAAGTCACGCATGGGTGGGCTGGGGGTTCACTTCTAGTCTGGGCTTGACTGGAGCATCTCGATGCTGCTCCACAAGGCTCATTCCTTTCTTTGGGAATCAGAAACTAGAGAGGGCATTCACTTCTCATGGCGATGGTTGAAGCAAAAGAAAACAAGCAGAGGTACACATGG